CTGGCTTTTTGCTGGTCCTAAGTAAACCCTCCTGAAGTGCTGCTGATCTCCTACTCACACAAAGGAAGGAAGGTGCTTTGGGAGGAAAGTCTCACCCAGTTTTACGAAGCTAACATAATTAGAGAGGACCTGGAATCTTATCACCTCAAGAGATTCCTGTCTACAAGCATCATTCAATTATTTTAATCTCTTCTTAAATTGAAAAGCAGCTTAGTAAGAAACTAATGCTGTTTAAGATCTCGAACACCCTACATTGGATGGGAATCTGCTTTGTTCTCATAACTCCATATTGTGCCCATGGCCAAGTGACCACCCTCCTCCAGACCCTCCGATTCCCAGGAAAACCTCACCCCTGATCTTATCTGAAGGCGCAGGACTCTCGGCATCAGAAAGACACCACACAATAAATTCCCAAACAGTACAAATCCCCTCAAAAACCCTCTCACACTCCACTGTATTAAAACCCTAAAAGCCTCTGTGCTCCTCACTTTTTGTTTCCCACCTGCTGAGTGTTACTCAGAGTCCTTCTGCAGCAATGATTAAAGCCTGTTCTGGTCTGTTAAAGTCTCTGCCTTTTTTTCGTGCCTTTAGTCTGCTTGATCTTTCCCTAACATTCACAGCAGCATGATACCATGATAGCAAGACTGCATTGGAAGATAAAACAGAAAAACAAAATGTGCTATAGCCATGCAGAGGAATATTACTTGACCATAAAAACGAATGAAATACTGATGCATAGTACCACCTGGATGAACCTTAAAGACATATAAGAAGAAACAAGCTAGTTTGCAAAAAACAAATATCATATGATGCTTTTCATGTGAGTGGTCAACTTCATAGAGAAAGAAAGTAAAGTGGTGAGTGCCAGAGAGGAAAGAAGACACTCTGTTTAACACAATTTGAGTTTGGAAAGATTAAAAAAGTCGAGAGATGGCCAGGCATAGTGGCATATGCCTGAAATCTCAGCACTGGAGGGGCTGGGGCAAGAAAATTTTGAGTTTGAGGTGTTAATTCAAAAAGCCAAAAAAGGGCTGGGAATGTGGCCCTGGGTTCGATTCTTCAGCACTACATAAGCAGAAAAAGCCAGAAGGGGTGCTGTGGCTCAAGTGGTAGAGCGCTAGCCTTGAGCTGAAATGCTGAGGGACCGCGCTCAGGCCCAGAGTTCAAGTCCCACGACCTACAACAACAAAAACATCCAAAACAAAGTTCTGGAGATAGAGATGGTTACAACAGTGTGAAAGTAGTTAGGACCACTGACACGTGTGCTTTAAAAGTAGTTGATGTAAAGTTTTGTACATGTTATGCTTTGACTGTGTCCCCTGAAGTTAATGTGTTCGAACTTTGATTCCCAATGTAACAATGCTGAGAGGCTGGACTCTTAAGAGGCAGTTGCACCATTCTCCAGTGGATCTCTTATCACTTTTGTGGATGTGGGTTCTGTGGCTTGAGGGTGAGCTTGTTCTAGAAGGCTGTCTGCCTGCTTGCTCTCATTCTCTTTAACCCTGCGCCTGTGGTACGCCATGGGATAGTGCGGCAGGTCTTCACCAGAGGCAGGTCTCTTCTAGGACTGCAAGAAATGGGTCTTTGTTCTTTATAAATTATCCAGTATTTCACCACAGCAGCACAAATGCACTAACAGTACGTATTTCAGACCACAAGCTTTAAAAAAAAAAAAAAACTCCCAATGCTGTGTAGAGATGCTTTTAGGAGCCAGGTACAGTCATGGAAAAATGCAACCCCAGCTACTCAGGAGATGTGGCAAAACTGCAAGCTGATTCCAAGTCATGGACGCTAAGACAGTGAGGCAGTATCCCCGGGAGAATATTTTAAAACTAAGATAAATGATGCAATTGAAGGCTTGGTTAGTCTTGCAGGGTGGACAGGGCCTGGAGGCCATGTCCCTTCCCCTGTGCCTCACCTTGCATCCGTCTGCACACCTGTATCCTGCATGGGACCCTTCGTCATAAACAGGTAAGCAGGCATGAGTGCTGCACCAGCAGCTTCCGGGACATGAACACTGACACCCCCCCCCAGGGCCAAGGACAGGCCTTCTTCAACCGCCACTACTGAGCCATCTTCAACAAGGCCAGCGGTTTGGGTCCTGTAAGGTCCACTCCTGGATGGCCAGCAGACTCCACCCTCCTCGCAGCAAAGTCTCCACCCAGTACCTGCGTTACCTAGGCAACTAGGACACCTGGAAGAGGTCACATCTGAATTTGATGTGGCCACACCTTTCTCCGCCCATACCCTAGATAAGGCCTAGCCCAGGCCCAGAGGCTCTCTCTTGCTGCTCTTTTCTGCTCTCTCTGCTCTTTTCTAGCTCTTTCCTCTTTCCCAGCTCTCTTTCCTAGGCCTTTCCCAGCCACGTGGAGTGCCAACCTTGCCTGGTCCCAGCAGGTCTACTGAATAAACCTACCCCTTACCTGAATACCACGTGCGTGCTGCTGTTCTTACTCGGCTACCCCTCTCTCTGCTCTTGTCTAGCTCTTCTCAAGCTCTTTTCTCTCTCTTTCCCAGCTCTCTCTCTTTCCTAGGCCTTTCCCAGCCGCATGGAGTGCCATCCTTGCCTGGTCCCAGCAGGTCTACTGAATAAACCTACCCCTTACCTGAATACCACGTGCGTGCTGGTGCTGTTCTTACTCGAATACCTCTTTTTAAAAACCTAACAGGTCCACCTGACTTGTATGGCTTAAACATGAGTCTTTCCAGCCACTCCTCAGGCCCCAACCTCCTGCCTACTCTGGAGGCCTGTGATTCTGCTGATCTTCCCGTGTGATCTTGAAGGTGCTTTATGGGTATGTTTTCTGTCACATCAACATGACATGCTGGGTGAAGAAATGTTTTCTTTTTTCAAAATTAATTTTAAAATAAGAGAAGCAAAAGCTCCTCCTGCAACTATTTCACAAGCCAACTATAGCAGGTGATCCTCAGTGTCCATGAGCCTGACCTAGATGCTTGTCTGGTCATCTTCCATGGGAGTCCTTGTCAGCGAAATGAGCACCCTTCCCACAGCTTAGTCCACTCCTTCCCCTCTCCACGGCTTAGCACGCTCCCTTCCTAGGCAACACTAGGCCCACGTAGAAAAAGCAGTAAATAATCAGCTTCCAGCCCCCTTTACCATGGGATGGCTCTCCTCGGGGGCGGCTACCACCACAGAAGGCAACGAGAGCCCCTTAGAGTGGCCTTCAGGTCTCGGCAGCTGCAGGGCCCCTTATCTAGTTTGGACAGCAGCCATCAATCCTAGTCCGCCCCGATGCAGCCCCAGGCCCGCAGCAGGGTCTCCGCCTCCTGGCCCCTCCTAAGCCTCCTGGGTGATACAGGTCACCTCGGACCCTAGCCGGTGCTGCTCCTCACTCCTCCCTCGTGAGAAGGGGTCTGGCAGGCCCCGTTCCCGGCAATAAACCTCTCTCCGATCTCTGTACCTGGATGTCTGCGTGGTTCTCTGGCAACGTCTAATAATCTATTTAAGCCTTCAGTCCTGATTCTAGCGGGAGGGGGAAATCGGCCGGCCGGAGAGCCTTCCCAGGCCTCCCGCTTCGGGGGGAGGCCGACGTGGAGGCCGGAAGCCCGAGGCCAATGGAGCTGAAGCAAGAGACTCGGGGGAAAAAACGGAACGAAAAGCACCGTAAACAACATGAGGAGTGGTTCCGGCGGCGGAGCGCGAGGCCCGGAGGTGGAGAGCCCCGGGTGGGTGGCCGCGCAGGCCG